TGGAATGTACATGCTTGCAACGGCGACTCAACGATAAGCAATTATAATTGTCACGCAATTGTCAAGCGAATGCGCTGGCGGCCCGGCAGGCAGGCAGTCAAGCTTAGCTCGTTTACACGCCGTCAGTTGCTTGCCACACAAAGCAGCTGCTGCTGCTATAGATGCCGTTGCTACATATTGGCTCTTGTTGCAAGCGCAAATTACGCTTGAATATGAAAAGAGGAACAAACACACATACATACATATGTTTCAGTGCATGTAAGTATGTGCAATCATGTGGATGCAACAGATGCGCGCAGCTTACTCGTTTGCCTCCTGCTATATTAATTTGTCTACTTTATGTGCGGCTACTCAATGAATGCGTATGCAGACAATTCTTTGGTTGAGCTTGTGAGTGCGCAGTTGCTGCATGTCACATTGTTAGCTGCGTAGCTGTTGGAAATCGTGCCTTTCCATGGCTTGCAAGTAGTTAAAACAATAAGCAACTTCTAAAGTTGCCTGCATCTCATAATTGGTCGGCATTTGCGCGGCAACAATAAATTAAAATTAAAATTTTATGCTTTGAGTGGATATTCACGCGCTCATAAATTCAATGAGCGCAGTCATTAAAGTGGATACAATTTTATTTTATAGTTTTCTTTGCGTCGACTTTCGATTTATGCAAAAGCATATGTACATACATATTTTCTCTGATTCTTTCGGGATTTTTTTGGTGAATAAGAAATTAAGAACAGTGCGCCAAGGGAACTGTGGGCGAGTTATTAGAATTTTCAAAGAAAAAATAATAATTTATTAATTAGAGGAAAGGGGAAAACGTTAATTAAACATTTTCAATCAAAATCTTTTCAATGAAATTTTATGAAAACTCTTTCAATTTATACTTAAAAAAATTTGGGGAAAAAATTTTAATCTACAAAAACGGCTGTAGTGTCAATTTTATTATAATAAAATAAATAATCTAACAAGTAAGGAAGGGCTAAGTTCGGGTGTCACCGAACATTTTATACTTTCGCATCAAATACCGTACTTGTGTAAAGTTTTATTCCGCTATCATCATTGGTTTTTAATGTATATATAATACAGAGAAGGCATCAGATGGAATTCAAAATAGCGTTATATTGGAAGAAGGCGTGGCTGTGAACCGATTTCACCCCCCGTACATGTCATCAGGGTGTTAAAAAACTATTATGTACCGAATTTCATTGAAATCGGTCGAGTACTTCCTGAGATATGGTTGAAACAGCTGTGTAGAGTTTGGTTGACATAGCTATAGTAGTTTTCGAGATATGCACAAAAAGTTAGTAAAGGGCGGGTCCACGCCCACTTTTCCAAAAAAATTACGTCCAAATATGCCCCTCTCTAATGCGATCCTTTGTGCAAAATTTCATTTTAATATCTTTATTTATGGCTTAGTTATGACATTTTATAGGTTTTCGGTTTCCGCCATTTTGTGGGCGTGGCAGTAGGTCGATTTTGCCCATCTTCGAACTTAACCTTCTTATGGAGCCAAGAAATACGTGTRCCAAGTTTYATCATGATATCTCAATTTTTACTCAAGTTACAGCACGCACGGACGGACGGACAGACAGACATCCGGATTTCAACTCTACTCGTCACCCTGATCACTTTGGTATATATAACCTTATATCTGACTCTTTCAGTTTTAGGACTTACAAATAACCGTTATGTGAACAAAACTATAATACTCTCTTTAGCAACTTTGTTGCGAGAGTATAAAAACGAATTACAACTGAGAACTTTTTTACCGCAATTGTTGCACAACTTTGTAAGTAATATTACACTACAGCACCAGCAACTTTGTCTTCGATATCCTTTAAGTGATTATAGAGCTGCAACTAGTGAATTGCGTTCCGCTCTTCCGTATTGACAACGTAGTTGTTGTTGTTCTCTCTTGATCACATTTGAGCAATGTTGCTAATACTCACTTCGTATACATGGTTTTGCACACATCTAGCTTTTCAGTTGTATTTTTTCATATTGTATAACATCAAAACTGGAATGCAATTATTAAAAACAGTCGACCTAATTATAAATAATTGTATTCACTGTGATTTTGAACTAGTTGAAGAATATTTCAAATATATTCAATGTATTTTTTTAATACTACAAAATATCGATATTGGCAAGCCTGCGTTTAAGAGAGCAAACTGGTGAAGAGAACAAACTCGTTTCTACATGAAAAATCCAATTTGGCCAAACATGCACGATAGAAACGGTAGAGGCGTTGGTGAGTTTTAATTAAAATTGAAATAGCAAAAATGCTCAAATTAGAGCACGTTACGTTGCCACTACGGAAAGGTGAAACGGAATGCACTGATTGCATCCTAGGTCTTTGTATTCTCCACGTAGATTTTGGAAACTACAGTTATGACAGAATTTTAAAGATCTAGAAAAGCAATTAAAACAAAACGATAAAGAGAGCATAATTAAATCCTCTTCTAAACCCTTATAGACTGAGCTACTTCTTTTCGCGGTTAAAGAGCAATATATTTATTAATTCCTCGTTATAAAATAATGTCTTAAACTTCAAATTTAAACAAATATTTATGTGGGATTGGAACTTGTGGGTCAAAGGTCCACACGTAGCGGTCGTACCTTTTAAATGCAACCCTGACCAAAAAGTTCATTTAATTCGAACAACACTCGAACAATATTCGAACTGTATAGTCGACCATAGTTATAGTCATTGTATAAGCCTACAAGTAACAAAATAATCAGCTGTGTTCCAAGAATTTTTCACAGCTGAGATCACCTGATCGAAATCTGCCTTTTTTAGGCACAGAGATGTAATTAAAAGAAATGTAGTAGATCAACTTTTTTATGAAAAAGTATTTGTAACGGAAAACATTAATGAAAACTTTCAAGAATATTTTTGAAACAAAAGTTTGTTGGATATTTATTGCTCTTCCTAACCTCCTCTGAGGTTGCAATGTAGGCGCGCCACCGATCTTTTTTGGGCCCCTTTTTTATATATACAGTTTTAAATCAATCTATTGTACTTATTATAAAAAATATGACTAGACAAAAATAAATATATCAAGTCAGGTACAATTCATGAATATTAATTACATTAAAAATATAACTGGAACTGGAATCGGGTACACTTCAATTGTAAAACAATTGTAAACATTAACAATACAAGCCACAACAATCGGCTTGTGTTAATTTTAACGAAATCAAAAACTAATATAATAAATCAGGTACAATTCAAGAACAACAACAATAATATTCAAAACAATCTACTAAGTAATAAATAATATTTACAAAATATTCTAAATAACTCACGGCGAAAAAATTATTAAAAACCCTATCAAAGGAATRGTGGTGGAAAGAAGGGTCCTATATCTACACGAAAACACTTAAAAAACAAAAAATAATTGATAATAAGCGTACAAACCTAACCGTTAAAATTCCCATTTCAAAATCACAGATCAAGGTAACTATGGAAATAAATATTTTTTTATAAAATTGGAAACATTTAATAATATATTGATGCAATAATTAATATTTTGGACAAAACTGATTAAATTTAATATTTAGGAATTTAAATAATCGAAAAAAATTTGAATATTTTATAAAAATTTGGTTAAAGTTATAAATTTTAAAACCTAACACGGCAACACACTATAGCAGATTTGAAGCATTTGAACGTTTAGTAGTAGAATATTTGGGGGCAACCCGTACCAAGTGACTAATTAGTAGCAGAATATTTGGGGGCAACCCGAACCTAGTGCCTAATTCGTAGTAGAATATTTAGGGGCAACCCGTACCAAGTKCCTAMTTTGTAGTAGATTTTTGCGTATGTGTTAGTGAAAAATGAAGGATTGGTTACTTGTAGGTTTATACAATGGTTATAGTTGAGTGGCATGTTAGTGCAGGACATGTCAAGAAGGGCGGACCAGCGGCATTAGTCGCCGCGTAACAAGTAAATTTAAATTAAATTGAAATACATATGTACATACGTTGTTTTAGATTAAAAAGGTGAAATATAAACTGAATTAAAAGTAATATTTTAAAATAAGTAAAAATGTGTTAAAATGTGTAAAATTAATGAAATTAATGAACATAAAATGAAATTTAATAAAACATAAAAATACATTTATACCGACCATCGAGGTTGCAATTAGAAAATGTGTGATTTAAAACAATCCTGCTACTAACTTAATTTCTCAGAATTTATGTATAAGTAGATAATTTGAGTTAAAGACAGCTTTTGTAAGTGATAAGTATTCATCTTGCAACAAACGTTAAACTACTTAGAACTTATATCAGTTTACAACTAGTTATTTTTGTCTAAAACAGATATATAAATTATTTAGTTATGTATTGAGAATGTAAATTATTCTTGCGATTTTTTATAGAGTTTTTTCTGACCAGGCGATTGTCATCTTGCATTGAGCAAAACAAACAGTTGCTTTCAAGGAAAGTAATCAATTGGATAACTAGTTCGCCTTGCGATAATAACTATGTTTTTTAATTAATTGCAGGCAGAAACTTCAATCTGTTCAACCATAAGTGGAGGAAAATTTTAAGTTCGCCAGCCGTGATCAAATATATTCAATTCGTCCAACATTTTTAATAAAATTACCGTCTAAATTACAACATCATTAAATGGAGTTTCAATGCAAAGCAAAAAAGTTTTGACAACTTCCCGAACATTTCAATGTATAAAATATTTATTGAGAGATAAAATATTGAATATTTATGTAAAGTACTTTCCACCCCTCCCACCACACAATATATACGATTTAATGTATGGCTTAATTAGAATAATTTGCCCTAAATGTAGATAACCGTTTTCTATAATTAATAATTTTGAAAGCCAGGCAATAATACATTGCGCAACAAACGCACCACAATACTAGATTGATAAAATTTTTATACTTAACAACTGTTATAAAAATATTATAAACAGTAAAAGCTTTATGATTTTAACTTTGTTTTTGTTTCCCGCATTTTTTTTTATATTTCCCACTTACCTTTTTTACAATTTGTCTGTGTTTTTATTAGTGTTCTCTCCAATTCGCAATTAATTGTATGCGTACGTACATAAGTGTGTTTTAACGATTGTTAATTTGATAGGTTTAAACTTTTTATTGGCACTTTGTTTAATGGTCGCCGGTCGTTTACTACCAAGTGGCGTGCCACAGCTGCACTTATGAAGTGGTTACGGGTTTTTGTTACTATTATTATTGCTTCTGTTATAAAACTTATTACAGCATTTCACTGTTGTTATTGTATTATTATTATTTTTGTTGTTGTTGTCGTTGCACTTATTTGTTTTGCATATGCTACCACAATTTTCAACACGCATATTCTTTTTTTTTCAATCCGATTTATTTTATTGGAAAACCTTGGTGTGAATTTAAACTGCAAAGAAAGAGAAAGTAGTCAATAATTAAAAACTGCATTTATTCTATTTTAATTAAATTTTTTTAAATGTCAATGAAATTAAAACTAATGAAGCTTTTATCGTGTTAAAGAGAAAGAAATCGTAAAATGTGAAGCCAAGAAAAGGGGTCCAACAGCCTGAATTTGACGTTCTATGTTAGCTTCAGTTCACACGGAGTTCCGAATAAATTACGAGAAGTTTAACAGTCCGCTATAGCGTTTTCATAGTGACAGCAACAGCCATAATACGTCCAAAGCAATAACTAAAAAAAAATTTTTTTAAACTGTTGTAACCGACCGAAACACAGAAATTACTATTACTAAAATTTTCCTTTAGAAAGTGCGTTTAAAACTCAAGTCTCAAACGTTCTTAATTAAAGCATGGCGATTTTCAGTAATGTGACTCTCTTAACTTAATCACTTTGCACACTGAGAGAGTCTACAGGGAGAGGGTTGATAGTCTCAACATCTTATTTTTTGAAATTCTCGAGATGACAACCGCTAGTGTATGTTTATTTGTTTTGCCTTAAGCCCCCCAGCGCCTCTAGAGTATATTTAACAATGTATAGGGAGTCTAGTTTCTAAAATATGTACATATGTTATTTGACTAGTTCCTTACACTAGAACACAAATTTTTAACTATGGTAGCCATTTTCTTCTTCTTCTTTACTGGCGTAAAAACCACGGTTATAGTCGAGTTAAAAACAGATATCAACCGAAGCCAGATCCTTCTCCACCTGGTTTTTCTAACGGAGGCGCGGTCCTCGCCTTTTTCGGCTTCTTCCGGCGGGTACTGCGTCGAATACTTTCAGAGCTGGAGTGTTTTCATCAATTCGGACAACATGTCTTAGCCAGTGCAGCCGCTGCCTTTTAATTCGCTGAACTATTTATGTACTCGTTATTGTCGTCGTATATCTCGTACAGCTCATCGTTTCATCGAATGCGATATTCACCGTGGCCAATGCTAAAAGGACTATACATTTTTCGCAGAACCTTTCTCTCGAAAACTCGTAACGTGGACTCATCGGATGTTGGCATCGTCCATGCAGCGGCACCTTATAGTGACTTATAGAGTTTTGTTTTCGTCCGTAGAGGGAGAACTTTAGTTCTCAATTGCCTACTCAGTCCGAAGTAGCACCCGTTGGCAAGAGATATTCTGCGTTGGATAAATATGTATTTCGTCTAAAATTTCACAGTTCATGAACCATCCTTGGGCTCACAATTCCTTTCTGTTAAATTATGTAAGCAACATGCACTAAATGGAACCCACTAAACCATTTCTCAAGAATTTTCACTTTCTCTACGACGCAGCCTAACTTAGTTTTCGCCTTCCTTTTCAAGTGTATAATGTTGGAGACATACATATGTACATATGTTTGGCCAATACTGGATAGCATTCCATTCCGCGCAATTTAACTTTTGAATGCTTTAAGCTTACACTTTTGATTATTTAGTTGCCTTTTGGTAAATCTTTTGCAAAGTTACTAAAGTTAGCTAAAGTACCTAAAAGTAGACGTCAAATGAAAGGCATTTGTAGGTCGTAATAGCGCTGTTGTTATATCGGTGACATATTTTTGCCGGTTAACGGTTTTTTGTTTTTCCATTTTGTTTCGTACGCTGTGGCAGCATCGACAAAAGAAAGTACACTCCGGCCTCGTCAGCAGCAATTCCAACTTTTGCGGTTTACTTTTGTAGCATATTTAAAGGCGCATAGCGACCACAACCATATTGTTGTGCTGACACAGAAAAAGTCAATAATTATTTGGGTCAACCATGGGTGGTGGCGGTGATGGTTAACTGGAACTTTTTTATATAGTGTTGTTGTTGCTCTTTGTTCTGGCTTGCGGTTAGCTTGGGAATTGCAATATGCGCTATCAGACCGCCGCCAATATGCTAAGAGGTGAAAATAATCGAGCAAAGTCGCATTTGACCTTTGACACAGCAACAATTTGAGTGAATGACTGACAAAGTGAGTGCCTCAGCAAGTTAAAAAGAGTAAGTCATGGAGTTGCATACTGCGGAGAGGCAAGTGAATGATTGAGCGAGTGAATTTGACATTTTTGTGTTGACCCATATACCGAGTCAACTGGGTGTGGATGGAGCCCGACGCACAAACATGCAAATGGAGCAATTGAGAGCTTGACGGGTCGCCATGGCCCAACCCAACGTTACACTTGGATGGCACTGTAGTGAACTGTGTTGAACTTAATTTTTTATCCACAACACAGGCTGAGTGTGTATGTATATATGTGTGCGTGCAATTTATAAGTAACCGCATTTGCGATAACAACAAGCGTTATGTAAATATGTATATGTAAATATGTGGCTTGGGAATGTGCAACATTGTAAACGACGTTGTTGCGTTGCGGTTGTGGCGCAGGCTACATGAACAGCAGTAACAGCGGCATCAAATAACAAGACAAGACAACAAATGTGTCACTAACAGCAGTGCAGGACGCAGTGTCACCCAAATGTACCAACAACGAGTACAAAAGTAACAACAACTAACAACAACGGCAGGCACTTTAAAGGCAACAAAGTTCAACAATAACAATAACGTTGCGGCAGAAAGCTTAACCAAGCAAACAAGCAACACTTTGACGCAAGTGTCTGAATGCATATACACAGCCGCATACAAATAGACAGTTAATGTTGCAAGTGTCGCGCTTAAATACGCATTTATGCATGCGCGCAGCCGTCGCCGTTTAAATGGCGAGCAAATAGCGGAACCATAAAAAGCACCAACAAATACAAGCAAACATAGTCACATATTATATATACACACGTATACTTATGCAATTTAAAACGTTTTTGCATGGAAAAAACAGTGCGGCAGCATGCCAACGCTCCTTGTGGCAACATTAGTCGCAACGTTAGGCGCAGCGGCGTGGCAAGTGCGCCGTTGACGTGTCGCTATACCCGACGCAATGGGCAACAGCTAACGGCAGTGTAGCAAACCGCAACGCCTCATGCGGTTGCGGCTGTGGCAAGTGACGGCTGTTTAACGATGCTCAAGCACGCACACATACACCGCTGTTTGCATTGTCACGTCACATCAACTGACGTTTACTTATGTGTACGCGGTTTCGTAGCGCTCGCGCGTGTGAGTGTGCCCGTGTATGCGAGCGTGTACATGTGACGAAAAGCGAGAAAAGCATTGACCGCTCCATTCCATTGCGACAAATGTGCGGCAGTAAATTCACACACGCACATACATACATGCGATTGTTGTTAAAAATGTTAATGGATTTTTCGCACTTAGCACAGTTGCTCAACACAATTGTAAGGTGAGTGGTATTTCGTCGCGTATGAAGAGCTTTCACGCGTGCGAAAGCTTCACTGCTGAAACAAGTGAGTTAGATTTTTGTTGCTCCTTATTGCTGCTTTTATTTATGTTCTCTACTTAAAGTAGTTTTCTTCTGCGTTTTTTAAGTTTCGCAAGGGTATTAAGTTGGTTCGGACAAATCTCTTATAAAGCATATATTCGGGTAAGCGGAGAATTGACTTTATGAGTAAGCTTTTCAAAGGTTTTTTGTTTTTTGGTTAAGCGATCAGTTCTGCTAGTGAGTTCTTTAAACTCCGCCTCTATATTAAGATGGCTAATAAGTTTGCCTCCTGCACAGTTTCTACCGCTGCGAACCATACTCAGTACTTCTCGTCGGACCGGGGAACATCATAGGCTCCACTAAGGAATACAAGTTGCTTGTATTAGTAGTTTTAGAAGTTGGCAGAATTTTTACATGTTAAAATTAATCCAAACACCTGTTTAGATTGACACAAATACATTTACAACTGCGAGCAGTGAAATAGTAGTGAGCGTTAGAGCTGTACATACATATCAGTACGTTATGTAAAATGTCAAACAATTTTAACATCCATTGAAATGCAAAAGTGGATCTTATTTTCTAGGCTAAGTTTATTACTAAAAATATTTAGATTTGAATATGTAAAAGATGTCTTTATGTATGAAACTTGTTGGGAGCAGTAATATAATAGTAAAGTACTAAACATTTTAAAAAAAAAAAATACTGAAAGATTTTTTCAAGTTTCGTTTATAGGAGATCTTAGTACTTTGGTAGCATGATCATGATTTTTGTTAACTGCAATACATCGCTTCTTCAGGGAATCTATCAGACTGTGGCATCTTTTCAGTGGTATGCTCTGCCATGATTGCTGCACTACGGTCCACAACTCGTTGTTGTTTTTGGGTTTCTCTTTCACACGGCTTTCTTGACGTCTGCCCAACGGTTTTCAATAGGACTGAGGTCAGGGGATTGAGCTGGCCTATCCATGACCTCAATTCCATTGACCCGAAACCACTCCTTTGCCACCCACTTGGTGTGCTTCGGGTCATTATTCTGGTGAAATATCCTTTTTAGCGGCATGTCCTCTTCAGCAAATGGTATCATAATATACTGCATTATATCCAAAAATGTGTATCGGTTCGTTATTCTACACAAAATAATTGTGCCTCTAAGAAAAACACCCCAAACCATGATATTCAAACCGCCAAGTTTCATAGTTTTGGTGCTGAATCTGGGGTCGTACTCTGTATTAGGGGAGCGTCTTAGATACTAACGGTACCCTTTACCGCCGTATAGAACAACTTTCGACACGTCTGTGCACAAGATGTTGCGCCATTTCTCATGATTTTTTTTAATAACGAGGACTGCGGACATATAAATTATATTCATGTAGAAGTCTTCTCACTGTATGAACTCAGCAGGCCAGATTCAGTTCATTCCGAATCTCCCTAGCTGACATTCTAGGTCGAGTCTTGCCACATCTTACAACTATTGGTGTAAAATTCTCGGAAAGAATCCATATTGCGCCCCTTTTTTCGTCTTTTTTTTTTTTTGCAAGTTTTTCCACTCCTTTGTAGGACTTAATAATTAATAAAAGATCAAGAAACATACTTTTTGTTTGATAAAATTAAATGCTTTTAGTAAAAATTATCTGTTTTCAATCAGCTCACCGTG